TATTATCAAAGATAAGCTAGATTGATTGATCTGATAGTTTTGATTAATAATTACAATTTTGGTAGAGTAAGTACACATGATAGTTATACAACTTCAATTTTCTTTCTCTTATTTTCATTCTTAAAAGTCGCACTTTTATTCGCGCCAACTGTAATTATAATATATTTAAATTTTGGAGAAATTAAATAATTTATTGAAATTCCATACAAAAATAAATAAATGATAGAATGTATAAATGAAATTTGTTAAATAAAAGCTTTAAAATATTAAAACATTCGATGTAATAATCAAATTTTGGCTAATTAATTAATCAAACTTTGGCTAATTAATTAATCAAAATTTGGCTAATTAATATTTTCCAATTTGCTTTTATACGAGTTTGTTATAATTTCAAAAATGAATATATAAATAATATACAGAAAATATGCAAAATTAGTTGAATTATTTTCAAAGAATTTCTGAAACATTTTGCGCTAATTTTTTTACATCCAAAATTTCCCTTTCTCTTGAATTTTAAGAGAATTAAGAAAAACTATTCGGAAATTAGAATATTAATTAATAACTTTATACTATTCTTTGGGGTCAAATGAAAAAGGGTAATAGAATATTAATCAATAATTTTATACTATTCTTTGGGATCAAATAAAAAAGGGAAATAAATCATAAGGGATTAGTATAATAATATCTTAATATAAAGAAGGAATTATCTTTCATTCCTTTTTTCAATAATACAGGCCTGTTTCTATTGTATACACTATACCTGTTGTTCTTTCATCCGAAAAATCCAATCCTTAATATTTCACTGAAGTTTGCATTTGTCCATTTTTAAACTTTTAATGAAATGTCCTTTCTAAGAAAAAAAGATAATTCACTATTTGATATATCTTTTTAACATTATCGGTGATCACTATGATTATCACGAAGATAATGTATGGAAGGATGAAAAACTGAAAATAGAACACAGGTAGTTCAAAGTTGAGATTGAATTTATCTTTACCATATCTCGATAATATTCACTTTGCATTTGAGAATGTTAATTTATATTTTATGAAAATACTTTATTCCATGACTGAAATCTTATTATTACGAAACATATTTCATTTTTGGCATAACTAATGATTCGATTTATTGCGAATCATAAATTTTACAATTCGCAATAAAAACATTTCGTAATTGCTATGACTTATTGTGATCAATAAAAAGCATTAAAAATATATATCAATTATTAATGACACATTGAAATGAGATTTAACGTTAGTGTATCTATTTGAAAATTTTGAATTAAATATCAATAATGTTGAATAGTTACCATAGATAATCTGATCAGAAAGACTCGATCAAAAAATAGTATCAAACCAAACTATCAAGATGACAAACTTTTAATAAAAACTTCCTAATGTGAAAATTCTTCTTTCATGCTTGTTGTATATGTGTATATGTTTTTCCATAACGTAATAAACGCAATAGTGAATGCGACAATGCCGCCTTATTTTCTTTACATTTTCCTGTTTTCTTTTCACCCTCTTCCTCTCCCTGTCCTGATATTCATTTCATTATCACTATTCAATGTTGTTGCGTAAATGTATTAAATTAAAAGAGCTCCTCGTTGAAAAAAAAGAAGATAAAAGGAGTAAAAATAAAAATGAAGTTGTGTAAGAACAGGTCTTACTTCTTATCATCATAGCAATTCAATTCCTGTTTTCATTTCTGATAACTTCTATCGTAGGCTTTCCACAGTCTCTTCTCCCTTTCAATCTTTGCATTCACCCTTTGTTACCTTGAATATTGTGTGACAATGACCAGCTGAATTATATCGCTATCATCAAGAAAAAAAAAACCACTTGCACCTTCAACGCAAAATTCTTTTCTCATATCACACGAAGCTGCAATGGCGGCATGTCGAGGAAACTGTCACCAAACCTCTTGTCTCAGATATTCTTGCTTTACACATAATTCTCAAATTTGAATATAAATATTTTTTACTATGAATCCTAATGAAATTATTCTGATTACTTTTTTTCTAGTAAATTTCGGTCAGCGGTACTTCACATGATATTCGTTTGAAAATGATTGAAAGTATTTCTCAGAAACTTAAGACAATTTTGACATAACCATATGTAGAGGTAGTTGAAACGTATTATTTTACACTCAGTAAGATGAGATGTTATTGAGGTAATAGTGGTTTAATGAGGTCAAAGTACTATGATTTACTGAAGTTTCAGTTATAGCTTAGTTCAGTCGGAAAGAGAAGGAGGTCAAACTAGTAGTTAATTTAATTCATTTAACATTGAATTACAACTCTATTTTCGCAAGCTTATTCAACTTTATTGTTAATAATTATGCACATTCCATGACCTGATTTGCATGAGCAATGCATGCATGATGCTACCAGCGTCATTTCTGCGCTACATCACAGCACTATTTTAGTGCCAGCTAGTGCTGCGAAAATATTACTTTTATCTTATTAAATATTCAGGGAAGGTAAAAAGTATTTTACCTCACACTCGACCATTATTGCTGAAATTGCTGTAAATAAAAGAAAATTGTGTTAGATATATGCCTCGTTTGTAATTTGATGAATTTATGCGTCACATTAAATCTTCGAAATTGGACTTATCTTACTTTTCATAATTTAGATGAAATTAAAGTATTGCTCAACTTGATAAATCGTTCAATATCATTTTATTTCTTCCTCTACTACTTTACTATCTATACAGTTCCTTCTTTTTCTACATTAAATTTAATCAGCATAGAAAAGATTAAGAAGTTTAAGATAGTTGATTATTTTCATGATTGCCTAGTATCATTGAAGATATTACACATCCAAATAATTGAATAATAATGGGAGTGTTGAAAGGAAAGTTAAATCTCTTATGTAATCGGTACATTATCAATTAATTAATGATTCTTATTTTAGAAGATTGCCTTCTCCAATTTTTTTTATCATTGTTTTATCGATGTTATTATTATCCCTGAGGGGTTTATCATCCTAACAAAAGGCTGGAAGGATAAAAGATGCGCTCATATTTTATTCGAACTAGTATTTTTTTCAAAAAAATTTTTTTAGAAAATTTCTTTTAAAATCACATTCTGTGGAAAATGCTAATTATTTTAAACAATGAAAGCATGAGTTAATTTATTTATTAAAATAATAATGGAAGTCTTATGAAATAAGAAATTTGCGAGGCTGCGTACTCCAGGGCTCGTCTGATCAGTACCCTCTAAAATTTACTTTTTTCCCATACCCGACTTTAACTAATAAAATAGACCGGCCGAAACGGATGCATGCGAAGCGAAGCAGAAAGCAATGCTTATAAAAACCGCTTCTTAGGCAACTGTCGTCTGTTGTGAACCCTTCCCCCGCTCTCCACCGCTGATAGGACATTTAGTTTTCCCAACGATTAGTGAAAATCAAACACATTTTCTGCTGTATCGATAACAAAACCTTCATACAATACTACTACCAAACTATTACAACTCTTACCGAGTTTTTCCCCGGAATTTTTTTGAACATCCTACTTATTGTTGTATTAGTTGCTAAGCATTAAGGATGTCCCTCAGGGGTTTTTTTAATTTGTACTTGCGCACTGGAACTGGAACCTGTTGGCGTAGACAATGATAGATCAAATCTACCTGTTCCACTCAATCCATTCTTTCTTTCCCTCCACAATTATCGTATTTGATAGCAGCTTGGATTTTGCCGTAGTTAAAAATAAGTGATACAATAATACTTGTATCTCTTACAGATGAACAATCCATTATTAAGCCTTAAGTCAATCACTCCAAGCCATAAGCTCGTTTCAATGTTAGCCAAATTTTCTTGTAAATACTATGTACATTTGCTATTTCTGTTGTTCCAGTTTTCAAGTTTAGAAATCTACGAATGAAAAATATCATTTGATGTCTCTCTATTCAAATATCATTTACTATCCGATTTGAAATTTAAATTCGCATTCCATTCATTTCCTTTGAATTTTAGATGTCATCATCATTCTTATTTTTTTCTATAATTCTTTTCCTGTCTTTTCATCTTTTATTTCAACTTTTTTCACCGGTAAATTTTCGTGTTACAAAGTGTCATTACATAATCAAATTATTGCGCGTCTTCAAGGCTGGCACAAAAATAAATCATTACAGCATACTGATTAATTATGAAGCTTGATATCTGAGATTCTCTTACTTTTTACAACAATAGCTATAAAAGTTATCGCAATCCATTTTTTTCTCTCAACATTTTCCTCCAAGAAATGCAGGATTACTAGAATGAAGGTCAACTTCTCAACTGTATTTCCGCGAATTCTCGCATAAAACATCACTTTCTATAATTATCGTTTTTCCTGATCTTCGGATAGACTTAATCTCTTTAAGATTGCAAGAAATTGCAAAAAGCATCGACTTTATTCATATCAATAAAAGGTGCTGTTCTCTTTATTTCTCGATACATCGATACACTCAGCACCGGTATACTCGGGATCCTATCAGCACCGATATACTCGGGATCCCATCATTATCCCTTATAATCACATCCAACCATCCAGTGGTTAAATTATTCACAACCATTTTATTTTTTACTAATTAAATCGATTCTAATTATTCAAATTTTGTGTCTTCTCCATTGCTGACTGTATTAGTCTAAAAAATGATAATAATAGATCGATTGACCTGCAGAGCAATTCCGTTGTGACACATTTATTCACTTCACCAAAGCCAAAAGCCATTGTAATAAAATTTGCATTAATCGGAGCACTCTATGTTACTTATGCTATCGTTACATTCCCTTTTTCACTACATGCTTGCATCTCTCAATGGATTCTTTTCTGTTTTTATCAGTTGTTTCTGCAAATTGATAATTGATAAATTAACAGTTAAATGAGTATGTGACAAAATTTGTATAACGGGCCATAAGCATGACAAATTAATTAATTGTCCATTTCATATTATTCATTTCAGAATCGTCAACTTGTAATATTTAACTGTAGCACGAGAATTTCCTATTTGACATGCAATGTCAATTGAGATATAAAGTAGATGTATCGACTGCAAATGCCGGCAAAAATTCACATCTGCAACGAATTTCTAATGGAGTAACTGTTCCAGTGGTACAAGATAATTCTATCAAACAACATCAACCAGTCAGGTAATTTATTCGAAGCCAGGCGTTACTTTTTCTGTTAGATTAAAATGTAGTTTCAAAAACGCCAGATGATTTGGCTCAAAATCAATGGATAATATTAGAAATATGGCCAAGTCA